GCAGAGACCTCGCAGAGATTCACTTCAGACGGGCTCCAAAGCTTATGCCATTTCTGAACTTTGAGATCAACAAGATCCCGAGGGTGAAAAATAACCTCCCCCTCCGAGGACAGCTCAAACGGAGGGGGAGGGGGTTTGCAAAGGGATTTGTGGAGGACCCCCACAGCGGGAGCCGTAAGGACCCAGGACCGAAACTCTTCCAGGGATGATTGGAGCTCCCTCCGCCTGGCACGACCTGCTACTCGCTTAGCAACTGCTGCAAGGTGAGAAATCTTATCCACTGGCACCTTGTCGATGCTCATGAGATAAGTCTGCCAGAGAGTCCAGGCTCCGTCCGAGGGGTCGAGGCTCGCAAGGGGAAGATGCACGCTGTCTGGAATGTCCTGTGCAAGGTCCTTGCACACACGCTCTAGCCGTGAACGCTGGAGCTGACCGTTGGACTTGGATAAGTGGTGATGGAGATTATGCAAGACTGTGTGCACACGACCCCGCCAACACGCAACCATGCCGTGCAGCGGCTCCTGACGCACTTTGTCCAGAACATGCACCTGAGCCTCCTGGAAGATAGGTCCCTGGCCCCTGGTGCGGCCCTCGGGAGAAAGCCCATGATGATCCTGAATAGCCGATTCGACCGTGGAAACCCACTGCTCGTAAAGTGCACTAACACCCAGAATACGGTCACCACCTGCAGCAAAAGCCGCTGAGTCCCGAATGACAGGCCAGACACTGGCATAATCACGAACAGGGATGTAGCCGACCTCCTGTCTGGCAGCTGCCCACGTGTCGGAGCTGATGCGGAAGCCAGGGAGAGGAGGGGGGTCAGGGGGAGAGGCTGAAACCCTGGGGTTGCTATCCTCCTGATCGTCAGCACTTACGGGGGCTGGGGGCTCTTGATTATCATCCTCGGGCAGATCATCAGCAGCTTCGCCAATAGCGGGGAAGAGATCATCATCGTCGCACGGGGCGCGAGCCCCAGGAGGAGGACCAAGGAGGGAGGACAGAGACAGGGGAGCGCCAATACTCTCCTCGTCGCCGTCGCCGCTATCAGCTCCACCTGCGGCAGGCGCGCGAGAGCGCGCGGACTGACTGGCCTGCAAGCCCTGCTCGTGCAGGTCCCCATACAGCTCATCGTACTGCTCATCAGCGAATGCCCTCGCTGCGAGGCGCCGCTCGTTGGCGGCCGCCTTGCTCTTGCTAGACTTGGACCCAGGGACGGGCAACGCTTTCGGCCGCGGGACCTGCGGAAGCTTCCGCGCCATTTTGAGCTCTCGACAAAGCAGCTGCTGGGCGGAGGAACGCAACCGAACCACCAGCCCGCAATGGGGCCTCCAGGGAACGTCGAGGCAGCCATCTACTGAAATAATGTATGGAATGCTGGAGGCGCTGGCGACTATATAATCGATATGGGTGCCGCCGCCGAGCGCACACGTGTACGCGAGAGGTGCCTGGAAGACGACACCACCTACTCGCTCCAAGAATCCAGCCCGTTGCAGAGCGGCTGCGGGCAAGTTAAAATCGCCAGCAACAATCCACGGGAGCCGACGCTGGAGGAGCAGGGCTCCTAGGCGCGTGAATCTTTGTAAGTTTCTGCCCGAGAAGCCTTCCTCGCACAAGCCGTAGAACGTAACTAAGATGAAAGAAAAACCTTTCTGGTGGCAAACTACTGCAGTAAACCCGTCCAAGGCACTGGAGCCGTCAGCAGCGAGGTCGCTCCAGACTGCCTGGGAGGAAGCAAGGGAGTGCACCTGGAGATGCTTACGAACTAAAATCCATTCCCCACCTTCATTCGCACGAGCCTGACCACCCTGAGTAGTGGCCTTGCCCGTACCCCTAGCAGGGTTCGAGAAAAGCTTGAGATGTGCCTTGCTAGCCGAATCCAGCCAAGGCTCGAGAGCATCTGCCGACTCGATATGCGTCTCACAAACTGCAAGATAACTAAAAGACTTCAGCCGCTCACCTGTGAGAAAACCCCACGCCTTCTTGCCCATGGCTGTAACATTGGCAAAAAACAAACGCGTCTCAGATGGTGAAGCCTAGGTCGTCCCCGATGGAGAGGGCGGGCACGGCACAGTCTCCTGGGACTGCGACTGGGTGCTGGCCCCCTCGAGCCGCGATCACGCAGTTGCCGTAGCAGGCATGCCTTTGCCTGCTCCCTTGGCCGCTGCCGCCGCCGCTGCCTCTGCTGCTGCCTTCTTGGCCTCGCTGATCTTCTGGGCTGCTGCCTGCAACTCGGCCTCGCTGGCCGCGTTGGCCTCAGCGGCGCCGGTGGGCTCGGCTGCGGCGGGCGCGGCGGGCGCGGCGGGCTCCGTAGGCGCAGTGCCCGCCTGGGCGCCTCCGCCGTTGCCGCCGCTGCCGCCAGCCCCTCCGCCGTTGCCGCCGCCTGGGTGTACCTGTCCGTCACCTCGCCTCTTCTTGGCCATGCGGGTCTCGATTGCCTGCTGCGCGGCCCTGAGCTCAGAGAGCCACTTCTTGACCTCATCGGACTTCGACGTGAGATCCGTCTTCGTCGCCGCCAAGTCCTTCGTCAGCTTCGCGAGAGTCTCCTTCTCGTGAGCCTCGCAATCGAGCGAGTCGACGGCGTCGAAGAAGGCCTCATCCCACGACACGGTGAAGAGAGGGCCCTCTTCAGAGCCTGGGGCGCCAGCAGCCGCCGACTCGTCTAGCAAGCCGTCCTGCTTCGCCAGCACCCTCACAGCTATTTTCTTGGCCTGCTCGGCCCTGGCCAGGGTGAGCGCCGCCTCCTGCTCCCGCTCCTTGGCGCGAGCGAGGACGTTCTCCGCCTTGATCAAGGCCGCCACCGCCTGGTCATGCTTCACACCCGCATCACGAACTGCAGCCGAAGCCTTCTGCAAGGACACCTCGGGGCTGACCTTGGTGGCCTCCTCGACCGCGGCCTGCTGGTGCTTGCTCACCTGCAGCTCGAGCAACTTGCGCATCCCTGGGTCGGTGGCGACGAGCAGCGCCTGCTTGTACGCCTCGAGCTCCGTGGACGGCGCTGCCGAGGCTGGTGCTGTTGGCGAACCGCCTCCGCCTGCACCAGGCCGAAGCGCAAGCTGGTTGTCGCTGTCCCCCTTCTTCGGACTGGGGCGAAACAACTCGACCTGCTTGCCGCACTTGCACCAGCACCCGTGCTGCTGGAGGACTACGTTCCATTCGCACTTACCACAACTCTTACACTTGGTCCAGAGAGAAGGATCCTGGGCATCGGTGGCTACTGAAGCCGTCGTCTTCTTCTTACCCATCGCCCTCTTTGCCAACCTGACCTTGCGGCCACGCGATCGCAAGACAGGTGCCCCTCAAGCACCACGTGGAGGTGAGGCGAATCACCCCGAGAAATTGCAAAATGCGCTCGGGGCGAAATGGCTTGAGAGAGGAGGAGGAGGAGGAGGAGGAGGAGGAGGAGGAGGAGGAGGAGGAGGAGGAGGAGGAGGAGGAGGAGGAGGAGGAGGAGGAGGAGGAGGAGGAGGAGGAGGAGGGAGGAGGAGGAGGAGGAGGAGGGAGGAGGAGGAGGAGGAGGAGGAGGAGGAGGGAGGAGGAGGAGGAGAAGGAGGAGGAGGAGGAGAGGAGGAGGAGGAGGAGGAGGGAGGAGGAGGAGGGGGGGGGGGGTGGCGGTCGAAACCTCTTACAGTCTGCAGATCGCCGCCCGCGCCCGCGCAGGTCCGTCCTTCTCCTGCCCGCGCGGCGCCCCCCCCCCCCACCGATGGCTCCAGAGTTTCAGCTGTTCCGCGGTCACAGCCCCGTCCACCAAGGCGGGGCCCCTGCTTCTCTGGAGGAGGAGGAGGAGGAGGAGGAGGAGGAGGAGGAGGAGGAGGAGGAGGAGGCTGCTCGTCTTCTTTTCTCGTCGGCAGGCCCTTCTGCTGACCTCCCTGCTCCCTCGCCTCAGAGTAAATGTTCTCCAGGGTGCGCGAGCGGCCCTCACCCTTGAAGAGGAAGAGGCGCCTTTGTTTGTTCGTACTCGGTCGGTTTCCGACGACTCGGACTGATTGCTCTCGAGGTGGGAAGGTGGTGTCTCGCGCCTTGTCTCCAGAATCCTGCTCCTGAGGCATAGCCGTTGATGGCAAAAAGAAGAGGAGCAGGGGGAGGAGGAGGAGGAGGAGGAGGAGGAGGAGGAGGAGCAGGAGGAGGGAGGAGGAGGAGGAGGGAGGAGGAGGAGGAGGAGGAGGAGGAGGAGGAGGAGGAGGAGGGAGAGGAGGGGGAGGGGGGGGAGGAGGAGGAGAGCAGGACATCGGCTTACTTCCCTCAAAACATGTTTTTCGTCGAATATGGGACAACTCCGCACCATGTTCGTATATCTGCAAGAAAGTCGACGCTGTTGAGATAACATCGGCGAGCACAAATTCTTCGGTGAATCAATGATGTAGTCGATCTCCGAATGACTCGAAGCTTCCCAGACCTCCAGCGTGTTGGCAAGAATCCGCACGGAGGTCCTCCGTCGTCTTCGGCGTCTGGGGGCCCTCGCCAGGCCCCGGGACGGTCAAAAAGCGACTCCAAGTGCAAACCTGGCCGTGGGGAAAAGGTCGGGGCTTCCAGGGACCCCGTATCACACTACGCGCACCGCGCCTGGCGGTGCGCGAGCCATCGGCGCGCCCTCGCCTCCGATCCCCCTGGTCGGGGACGGACTGGCCCGGGTCGATGCAAACCCGGGTCAGTCGGCCCTTGCAGGATCCTGCAAGATGCTGCAGTTGGGCGTCGCTTAATGGAGGGTAAATGGAGGGGGGAGAAACGTGCACTTTTCGGACCCTACAGGCCCACTGTTGGGCCCTAAGGGTCCCTGTTCGGCCGCCCTGGCTACCCATGGCTACCCCTCCATGCACCACAGAAGGCAGGAAATCCGCCCCCTCATGATAAGCACCCCGACAAGCGAAGCCGCGTAGTAAACCCACCCATGGAAGGAATCGAGCAGGGCAGGGCCGTCTTGCAAGCGCCGATTGTCGGGGTCCGGGTGGTTTCTCCTGCCCTTGAATCTCGCCCGCCCTTCACGCGACGCCCCCTGCGGGATCCTGCGCGCCGGCCCGGTGTCGGCGCCACCCTGGGCTCTGCAAGATCCGCTCCGGCTGACCCCCGTCCGCACTGGCCCCTGCCTCGAGGCTCTCGACCTCGGGCGGATCCAAGAGCAACGCGCGGACCTCCACGGTCCCACCAGCCCTCTGGGCGTACAGTGGGCCTTGATTGGACAGGACACGCGGAGAGGACACGAGACCCTTCCGAGGGCCACATCTCGGAGTGCAAGAGGGCACGTGTCGCGAGGCACAGGACACGAGGGTGCCCTTGAGCTGGCAGGGTCGACCTACTAGTCAGGGCCGACTGTAGCTGGTTTAGGGCGTTTCCTCTCCCACTCCCTCCCCCTAACCCCTCCCCTGGACCTGGACGGGGCGTTCCGCGGGCCGCTGGAGCGTCCAAAACGGCCTCGGCGAGGAAGCCCAAATCATTGGTCTTACCAAGGTTTGGGCCCCAGTTTGGCCTCTTGGGGGGGGGGGGGGGGGGGGGCGACGCTCCAAAGTCTCTGATTGTTCCTTGGGCCGTTTTTTCCCAACCATCCTGTGGTGTTGGGTCCTCGTTTTGAAGAGACGGTGCCCCGCGTTCTCCTTCCTTCCTTCCTTCCTCCCGCTGCCTCCTCCCCCTCCTCCTCCCTCCTCCCCCTCTTCCCTGCGTTTCACCCCCCCAGTACACCGTTTCGTGGCCCCATAGGGAGCTCCGCCGAAGGCCCCAGTGCTGCCGCCCGCATGCGTCCCCCACACCCAATTCGGCACACCCCTCACACGTTTCGTGGCCCCATAGGAGCTCCGCCGAAGGCCCCAGTGCTGCCGCCCGCATGCGTCCCCCACACCCAATTCGGCACACTCCTCACACGTTTCGTGGCCCCATAGGAGCTCCGCCGAAGGCCCCAGTGCTGCCGCCCGCATGCGTCCCCCACACCCAATTCGGCACACCCCTCACACGTTTCGTGGCCCCATAGGAGCTCTGCCGAAGGCCCCAGTGCTGCCGCCCGCATGCGTCCCCCACACCCAATTCGGCACACCCCTCACACGTTTCGTGGCCCCATAGGAGCTCCGCCGAAGGCCCCAGTGCTGCCGCCCGCATGCGTCACCCACACCCAATTCGGCACACCCCTCACACGTTTCGTGGCCCCAGAGGAGCTCCGCCGAAGGCCCCAGTGCTGCCGCCCGCATGCGTCACCCACCCAATTCGGCACCCCCCCTCACACGTTTCGTGGCCCCATAGGAGCTCCGCCGAAGGCCCCAGTGCTGCCGCCCACATGCGTCCCACACCCAATTCGGCACCCCTCACAGTTTCGTGGCATAGGGAGTTCCGACGAAGGCCCCGTGCTGCCGCCCGCATGCGTCCCCCACACCCAATTCGGCACACCCCTCACACGCTTCGTGGACCCATAGGAGCTCCGCCGAAGGCCCCCGTGCTGCCGCCCGCATGCGTCCCCACACCCAATTCGGCACACCCCGACTCTCGTGGCCCCATAGGGATCTGCCGAAGGCCCCAATGCTGCGGCCGCAGCGTCCCCACACCCAATCGCAACCCCTCACACGTTTCGTGGCCCATAGGAGCTCCGCCGAAGGCCCAGTGCTGCCGCCGCATGCGCCCCCCACACCCAATTCGGCACACCCGTCACACGTTTCGTGGTCCCATAGGGAGCTCCGCCGAAGGCCCCAGTGCTGCCGCCCGCATGCGTCCCGCACACCCAATTCGGCACACCCCTCACACGTTTCGTGGTCCCATAGGGAGCTCCGCCGAAGGCCCCAGTGCTGCCGCCCGCATGCGTCCCCCACACCCAATTCGGCACACCCCTCACACGCTTCGTGGCCCCATAGGGAGCTCCGCCGAAGGCCCCAGTGCTGCCGCCCGCATGCGTCACGCACACCCAATTCGGCACACCCCTCACACGTTTCGTGGCCCCATAGGGAGCTCCGCCGAGGCCCCAGTGCTGCCGCCCGCATGCGTCCCGCACACCCAATTCGGCACACCCCTCACACGTTTCGTGGCCCCATAGGGAGCCCCACGAAGGCCCCAGTGCTGCCGCCCGCATGCGTCCCGCACACCCAATTCGGCACACCCCTCACACGTTTCGTGGCCCCATAGGGAGCTCCACCGAAGGCCCCAGTGCTGCCGCCCGCATGCGTCACGCACACCCAATTCGGCACACCCCTCACACGTTTCGTGGCCCCATAGGAGCTCCGCCGAAGGCCCCAGTGCTGCCGCCCGCATGCGTCACGCACACCCAATTCGGCACACCCCTCACACGTTTCGTGGCCCCCTTGCTGCCGCCCGCATGCGTCACGCAACACCAATTCGGGTTTCGTGCCCCTCCACCGAAGGTCCCGGCGGGTGTGCCCGCATGCGTCCCGCACATTTATTTCGGCACCCCCTCACACGCTTCGTGGCCCCATAGGGAGCTCCACCGAAGGCCCCCCAGTGCTGCCGCCCGCATGCGTCCCGCACACCTATTTCGGCACACCCCTCACGCGTTTCGTGGCCCCACAGGGAGCTCCGCCGAAGGTCCCAGTGGGTGTGCCCGCATGCGTCCCGCACACCCATTTCGGCATGCTCTTCACACGTTTCGTGGCCCCATAGGGAGCTCCACCGAAGGCCCCAGTGGGTGTGCCCGCATGCGTCCCGCACACCCAATTCGGCACACCCCTCACGCGTTTCGTGGCCCCATAGGGAGCTCCACCGAAGGTCCCAGTGGGTGTGCCCGCATGCGTCCCGCACATTTATTTCGGCACACCCCTCACACGCTTTGTGGCCCCATAGGGAGCTCCACCGAAGGCCCCAGTGCTGCCGCCCGCATGCGTCCCGCACACCCATTTCGGCACACCCCTCACGCGTTCGTGGCCCCACAGGGAGCTCCACCGAAGGTCCCAGTGGGTGTGCCCGCATGCGTCCCGCACACCCATTTCGGCATGCTCTTCACACGTTTCGTGCCGAAGGCCCCAGTGGGTGTGCCCGCATGCGTCCCGCACACCCATTTCGGCACACCCCTCACGCGTTTCGTGACCCCTCACACGTTTCGTGGTCCCATAGGGAGCTCCACCGAAGGCCCCAGTGGGTGTGCCCGCATGCGTCCCGCACACCCATGTCAGCACACCCCTCGCACGTTTCGTGGCCCCGCAGGGGGCTCCACCGAAGGTCCCAGTGGGTGTGCCCACATGCGTCCCGCACACCCATTTCGGCACACCCCTCACACGCTTCGTGGCCCCATAGGGAGCTCCACCGAAGGTCCCAGTGGGCGTGCCCGCACGCGTCCCGCGCACCCATTTCGGCACACCCCTCACACGTTTCGTGGCCCCATAGGGAGCGCCACCGAAGAAGATATTCACAATTGCGGTATTCACAATTGCATATGGTTGGGTCCTTCGCCAGGATAATTTTTTGCTGCTCCTCGAATATTTGAGGGATGAAAAAACGACCCTACCCTGGGTTACAAGTGCGTGGTCTGTGAACCTCCTGGGATACCCCCACGCCTAGAGCCGCCAGGACGCGGCACACCACGCAGGGACTACCCTGTCAACCCACAGGAGTTTCAGCGCACAACGCCTCGTAAACCAGGGCAAGGGCGTTTCTGTTATGCCCCTTGATGATATGGCGCTGCTCGCTCGAGATCTGCCGATCCGGGGCCACCGAGGGCGCGAGAGGCGCGGCCGCACACCTGCCACGCCGTCTGCTCTATAGGCTATGCCGCGGGTGCGGCACCGCAGCGCCAACACCTCGGGCGGGCCGCGGGCAACCTCGAGCGCCCGCGCCGGGGTCGCCGCCGCGCCGACGCGGCACGGAGCCTGCCGCCCGGCGCTCGGGCTGGCCCGGCAGCCACGGCCGCCCCCCCACCCCCCGCCACGCAGCGCCGTCTCCGAGGCTGCTCCCCTGGAAGCCTCCAGGGGCTCGGAGCGAGCCAGGCACGTCCGGCATTCCACCGACTCGGGGGCGACGACTGGGGGCGAATAGACGGGGGGGGCGTCGCATTCGCCCGGGAGCCTCACAGAAGGCATGTGTACCATCGGCGCCCCTGGATGCATGTATTGCCCCCCCCCCCCCCCTGGGCCATTCGCCCCTCTCGTCGCCTCCGACCGACGCCCGACGGTGAGATTGTTTCCCCGACACCGCGACGGGTCCCGGCGGGACCAGCTTCCGTCGCGGCTCCACTCTTGCTGGCCCCAAGGCCTGGGGCCCGAAAGCGGCCCCCCCGAAAGAGGCCGAACCGCCGGCGAGCGCCGCGACCGAACGAGGCCGCCCACCATCGGTCGCCCGATTGGGGGGCCACATGCGAACCCTACCCCTGCCCCTCAGAAATCGTGGGGGGTAGGGGTAGGGTTCGCATGTCCACCAAGGCGGGGCCCCTGCTTCTCTGGAGGAGGAGGAGGAGGAGGAGGAGGAGGGAGGAGGAGGAGGAGGAGGAGGAGGAGGAGGAGGAGGAGGAGGGGGGGGGGTAGGAGGAGGAGGAGGAGGCGGAAGAGGAAGACGAAGAGGCCACTTGCAGTGGGGGCAGGGGTAGGGTTCGCACGTGGCCCCCTACTGATGCCCCTGGCACGGCCTCGGGCGGTGCACGGGCAGCCCGCCCAGGCAGCTCTGGCGGGCCTCGGCGGGCCCCGCGAGCAGCCCTGGGCGGCCTCGGCGCCCCGACCCCCGGGGAAGCGGAGCGCTCCCGGGGCGCCGCCGGAGGCGGCGCCGGGACGCGCAGACCGCCCCGAACTGCTCGTCGGGAGACTCTTCATGGGGGGGCATCCCATGGGGGGGCAGGAGGGGATCCCCCCATGGGATCCCCTCCTGCCCCCCCATGGGATCCCCTCCTGCCCCCCCGTGGGATCCCCAGGGGATCCTATGGGATCCCCCCCTGGGATCCTATCCCCCCATGGGATCCCCCCCCATGAAGAGTCTCCCGAGCTCGGGGGGCATGTTGATCGGGGGCAAACGAACCCACCTCGCTTTTGACCACCCTCGCTTCCAGTAGCTACCAGGCGACGCCAAACTACGGCCCGCACTGGTCAGGCCGCTCGCGTCGGGAGCGGCCAAGAGGGGGGGGTCCTAGAGGGGGGGGTGGCAAATCATGACCGGCGGCATGTGCGCGGCCCAGCGGGGGGGCCAGGGACGTGATGGAACAAGAAGGGGCGCCATGAAATCTGGGGAGATATCATGGCCCCCGCCATGATATCCACCCCCCCCTAGTCATCACTCTCGGGGGGCCTGTCGAGGCCAGCCGGGACTGCATGGGGGGGGTCTGTGACCTGCCACCGCACGGATATCCGTTCCCCGTGCATCTCTCGGCTTCGGGCATTTTCTTTTTTGTTCGCGGGGCGCTCCAGGACGCTATGGCAATGGGTTGGGCATGTCCTCCTACAGGCGGATTTTGAAAGACAACTGCAAAGTAGCCAACCAATACGCGACACAAATAGTCAGAAACAATCGGCAAGTCGTCCCTGGACTACTTTTTGACTATTTTCGACTGTTCCTCCTGTAGAAGAACATGCCCGACGTGCACGGTTTCCTCCAGGGCCGTAGGCGACCCGAGGAGGAGGGGGAGGAGGAGGGGGAGGAGGAGGGGGAGGAGGAGGAGGAGGAGGAGGAGGAGGAGGAGGAGGACGGGTCGCCTAAGCCCTTCGGAGAAACCCTCCAGCCCGACGTAACCACAACATGCTCCTCGAGGGTCCCCGCCAAGCCAACGTGCAAACGTCCGAGCGACGCCGAGGGTGCACGACCCGGAGCCTCACCACCAGTGAGCCAAGAAATCCGCGCGGAGCTCCAACAGTTTATGTTTATGCCGTTTTCTTCTTCGAGTTTCTCAGAACGCCCCGATAACTTGCGATGGTTTGGCCACCCACTTGGGCATCGTTTATCCGATCCCTATACACAGAGGCGTGGCCTGGGCCCCACTGGCCGAATTACCTCCCTAGATGGGGATATATAGGCCGGTCCCCTCGGGTTTCGAGGGGTGTATGCCCCCAACTGGGGGGCGGTGACTTGGTGCAGGGGTTTCTAAGGCGATGGGGATGGGGGTGGGGGTCGGTTAAACAGTACTGAACCGAGGCCGCGGCCCTGGGGCGCGCCTGCAGGTCCACGCTGTCCCGCTCGAACGCCGCCCGCACCAGCGCCTGCGGGGGCACACATCGGAAGGGACCTCTCACGCTTTCGCCAGGCCTGCGCCAGTGTCCATACAGTCCTCGGCCTGACCTGAGGAACGATACACAAGGGACGAAGCTCCTTTTTTTCCAAGGAGTAACGCAGAAAGAAAGATAACATAATACATAACGCATAAGGTACGATTAATAACGCATGCAAGCCTAGGGAACGACCGAGCCCCTTTTGAAAAGTAAGTGTTCCTTTTTTAAGCCGCTCACTGTAAGAGCAAGAACGCAGCTGAGCACAGGAGGGCGTGTGCAGGCAGCTACTCGGAGCTCGGACAGGCAGAAGCAAGGTGCGGATGGCGCTGCTGAGCCCTGGGAGAGCAGAACGTTGACAGCGCGATCACTAAATCGCTCGGACATCTATTCGGATAAGCAGTAAAAATACCTCTCTAACCCGTTGGGGGGGACCCAACTTTGTAGGACCAACAACACCAGGGACAGTTGGTCTGTTCTGTAAATGTATCAGATCAAACCGCCCAGATTGATTGCCCCCAATGCGGAGATGGGGACCTAAGTGGGGCCACGTTTTCATCGTGTCATTAGGGTTAGGGTTTTGTTCTCGATGATATTCCCTGTGCATGTTTCAGTTTCGTGCGTTTATGGGGGGCAAAATGATCCAGGACGCTCCTCGATGGCCCTCGCCTAGGAAAAACCGGGTGTTGCTAGAAATGCCCCTGGCCCTAGGTGCCCCTAGGACTTCCAAGGAGGCTGACAGGAGTCCAGCCCAACATACAGTCGGACTTGATTTAGGTCGGGCATGTCTCCCTACAGGCCGATTTGGGAGGAAAATAATCTAAACATATTCAAAAATCACAAAAACTAAAACATCGTCCCTTGACTATTTTCTGACTATTGGACGGGACACGCGAGAGGACACGAGACGCTTCGACATTGAGCGGAAGGGGGGGGCCGGGGGAGAAGGGGGGGGGTCTGGCTCCGGACCTCTGCTGAACGCGACGGTTTACAGCAGCGCGTCCCCAGGGGGAGACTCCACCTGCCTGAAACATGCGCCAAAAAGCAGCCAAGATCTACTCCATGGAGGGGAGGGAAGCGATGGTGCGAGGGCCCGCGCCGATCGGCAGAGCCATGAATAAGAAAACGATCACTGATCAACCTCGACTGTATCCACGGCTTCCTGGCCAGGCCCGTCCTGAAGCCAGCAGCGGTGTATACGCCACGCCCTCCTGACTTGGCCAGGGGCGCGTGTACACCGCCCCCTGGGGCCCAGGAAGGGCCCGGTCAGGGGGCAGGGTCGACCCCCTCGAGGGACGCAAAGATGGCCACAAAGGGGCCCCATCAGAGGCCCCAGGGCGCCCAAGACAGAGGGGCAGCAAACTGCAGCATCAGGAACGTTCGAAGGTCCGCGCTGCTTTCTTCGGTCGGCGCTGAACCCTGGGTCGATCAGGAACGTTCGAAGGTCCAGGAACATCAGGTCTTTGTGCGCTCCCATCATCAGGAACGTTCGAAGGTCCCCCTCCCCCGGCGCCAGGAGACGCGACGGAAGCGCCACCAAGGAAGTTGTAGCGGCGCCGACCCCGAAGAATCCGCGCGGACCCGCGACAGTTTGTGCTCGTACAGTTTATTCGTTTCCGAGGGGCGGAGCAAATCGGGCTGGGGATCCATACAGTGGAGGCCCATGCCAAGAAACACCCACCCTGCTTGCCTCCAGGGGGCCCTGGGTTTCTTGGGTTTCGATGGCTTTGCTATGGAAGGCGTGCTGCTCCCGTCCCAAAAGTCAGGGACCGTCCTGCTCCCGCTTTCGCTGGCTGGCTGCCGCCAGGCCGCGCCGTCGCCCTGGAGACAAGGCACGCCTCCTCCGACCCAAGCCGCACGTCGGAGGAGGCGTGCCTCGTCTCCCTCCTCGCCCCCCTCCTCCTCCACCTCCTCCTCCTCCTCCACCTCCTCCTCATCCTCCTCCTCCTCTTCCTCCTCCTTCGACAGGCGGATTCTGGACGAACAATCGAATCTACTCGAAACAGAGCTCAAAGACGATCAAGAGGTATTCAAAACATCGTCCCATTGTTTTCACTATGTTTGAGCATTCCTCCTGTAGAGGGACGCGCCCGACTGAACCCAAGCCGCGACGCGCGAAACGCTGTACATGTTTTTACGCCGGGCTTGTCCTCCTACAGGCGGATTCTGGACGAAAACCGAATATACTCGAAACAGAACTCGAAAACAATCAAACATGACTCAAAACATCGTCTCCCTACGAGTTTGTTTGACTATGTTTGAATATTCCTGCTGTAGAGGGACGCGCCCGACTGAACCCAAGCCGCGACGCGCGAAACGCTGTACATGTTGTTACGTCGGGCTTGTCCTCCGACAGGCGGATTTTGGACGAAAAAAATGCGCAACAAATGATGACAGAAAAAAACAACAATCGTTCCCAGGCTATTTTCTCTGACTAATCTTAATTCTTCCTCCTGTAGAGGGACGTGCCCGACTTGAACATCTTGCCCTCGCGCCCCCGCGGGTGACCTAGACATCCGCCTCAATCGGGCGCGCGCAAACATGAATCAGCGATCCATGGATTTGGCGCACGGTCGCCAAATCCATGGATCGGGGGAGGTGCCCTCCCCAAAATGCGGCGGGTGCGGCCTCGCTCGGCGGCGGAACTCCGCGATTTCCCGTGGAAACGAGACCCGTCGCTAATCCACGCCCCCTGAATCTATGTTTGCGATTGCCTAAGAAGCTGCATAAACATGCTCTGCGTCTCGTTTCTGCTTGCGCCGCGTGTTCCTCCTCGGCATGACCTCGACGAACGGCTACTCTGAAGGGGCCCTGGGACACACAAGTAAATAGACACACATAACAGGATCCCCCATGTTTTCCTACATTTTCTGGGTTTGGGGGTCTTCCCCCCCACTTCCCATATTTTCCCATATTTTCCCGGGAAGGGACGATTAATTGTGTCTGTGTGCTTCTTCCCCTCCTGATGCTCCCTGGACCCCTCCTGGGGCGCGTGGTCTGACCAAGCTTTCGACGCGACTGCGGCCGTGGCGACGAGGGCCTCCGGGGAGGCCCAAAAAGGCAAACACGAAGCCGGCAAGCGGGCCACCCGAAACCTGTGCCTAAGACAGAAGAGCACAGCCCCCACGGGCACAAGACCCTCCGCCGGCCAAGCCGACGAGCACTCGAGGGCACCCCCTCCCAGGACACCGTTTCTATGATTATTTTGGGTAGCGGCTCTGTCGCCCGAGGGGGGGGGGGGCGGGCCGGCGGGCAACGGTAACGGCGGCCGCGGCGTGCGCCCGCCAGAGTGCGTCCGCCCCATCGGCACACCGATTGCCATACCTGCGGAGAGGAGGGGGGCCCGCCTTCCGCCCCCCCAAAAAGCGTACGATCGTTAGCGCTAAGTCGGGCGTGTCCCCCTGCAGGGGGATTTTCGACGAAGAATAAAAAGGACTCAACAACAAAAAAAAACCCAAATGGTCAAAAAATGCTTTAAGCATAGTCCCCTGACTATTGTTTGACTATTCTCGAGTATTCCCCCTGTAAAGGGACAGGCCCGACTTAACGTTAGCGTTACCCAGGAGAAGGGGGGGGCCCGGGTAACAAGCGTCACCCGCCAGAGGAGAAAAGACGAACAAAAACGCTCTCCAGGAGGCCTCCAAAACACCCAACTCGCCATCGCTCGGCCGTCCATTCCGTGTGCTCTTCTCGGCTTCGTGCGTGGCTCTTCCGCCAAATGATCAAGGATGCTCCTCGATGGTCCTCGCCGATGGAAAAAGTGCACACGTCCGAGCGATGCCGAGCCCACACCCGGGGAGCCTGACTGACCCGCCTGCCGAGGCCCTCTTGGGCCGTCTTGGAAGCCTCTTGGGCCGTCCTCTTGGGCCTTTTTGGAAGCCTCTTAGGCCGTCTTGGGGCCCTCTTGGGCCGTCTTGGGGACCTCTTCGGCCGTCCTGGGGCGGTATTGGAAGCCTCCTGGGCGATCTTGGGGCCCTCTTGGGAAGCCTCTTGGATGCCTCGTGGGGCGTCTTGGAAGCCTGACTGAGCCGCCTGCCGAGGCCCCAGGAGGACCGCTCCCCCGGGCGAGGCGCTCCGGGCGGCGCGGCTGCCGGAGAGCGCCGCCTCCCGAGGCGGGGCGGGCAGAACCCCCCCCCCGGGGGGGCCGACGGGAACGCACGACGACTCGACGACCCAGACCTCCGATGTCTCGTTTTTTGTCCATGCTGAAGGGGCCCAGGGACACACACACACACACACACATATACACAAACATATACAAGTCCCAGGATTCCCCATATGTTCCCATATATTGTGGGGATGTTCGTCTTCTCCCCCCACCACACTTCCCATATTTTCCCATACTTTTTGGGGAGCTCGACGATGAATTGTATCTGCGTGGTTTTTCCCCTCCTGAAAAACGGGGTCCCCGGAGCTCTGGACCACTTCCTGTAGGACTGGTTTCTCATCCCGGATTGATGTTTGACGGTCCCGGGGCCCGGCAAGAACCCCCAGACGCCGAAAACGACGAACCTCCGTCTCCTTGGTGACCCAGACCCTTGGAAGCGGTGGGAAGACGATATCACACAATCTCTGGCAGAAAACACGCCACTCTAACCAAGCAGAGAACGATGGTTTGCATTATCGGCGGTGGACAACCCCCCCTTTAATAAACCACCCTTTAGTGAAAACGGCCTAGGACCGAAACCGACGGACCTGGACCCGCAAACATGACGGCCGCGACGCCCTCTCGCGAACCGAAAACGACCCATTCGCTTATTGACGTGTCAGAGTAGGAGGTCTAGCAACCTCCGACATTGTACAGCACCAGACGGCACGCAACGGATCAGTCTAGAATTAGGTCGGGCATGTTCTCCTACGGGTGGATTTTGGGCGAAAATGACAAAACACAACAAGCTCCAAAATTGACAAACAGTGGTCGAACACCGTCCCCCGACTAGTTCTGACTGCTTTGGAATACTCCTCCTGCAGGAGGGACGCGCCCGACTGGAGCCCAGGACGAGCCCTCCTTGCGCCACGCACGCAGCACGAACTGCGACCCTCACGCCGGGCCCTGCCTGCCCCCCGGCGGCCGCAGGCGCGCTCCGCTCCGCTCCGCTCCGCTCCGCGCCGGGCGCCAAAGAGCCTCCGGCCCCGCCCGCTCCCCAGAGCTGAGGCGGCGGCATGCGAGCCATCGGCTCTCCCGACTCGACGGGAGGCGGGGGGTGGGGTTCGGATCTCGCCACGTGCTCGACGAGCGCCGAAACCCTGCAGTCGGACCAGAAGGGCACCCCTCAGGGGCAGGAGGCCCTGCGCCTGCCAGAGCACCCGGGGCATCCGAGGGTACCCGTCCCAGAGATGCACAGGAACGTTCCCCAAACACGAAGAACACTTGGATACCCTCCCAAGGCAGATCTCTAGGGCTCCCAACTTCGCGCTTCGCGCTCCGCGAAGCGCGAATCACTTCGCGCTCTCGCGCCGTCCCCCCAAAGGGGGAAGAGGAGGACGAGGAGGCGGGAGAGAAGGAACGAGGACCGCGAAGCGCGAGTAACTTCGCGCCCTCCTGGGAGCCCTTGGAAGAGCACAGCCCCCACGAACACGAGACCCTCCGCGGGCCAAGCCGACGAGCACTCGAGGGCACCCTCTCCCAGGAAACCGTTTTTTTGTTATTTTGGGTAACGGCTCTGTCGCCCGGGGGGGGGGGCGGCGGGCAACGGTAGGCGGCCGCAGCGTGCGCCCGCCAGGGTTCATCCGCCCCATCGGCACACCAATTGCCATACCTGCGGAGGAGGAGGAGCAGGAGGAGGAGGAGGAGGAGGGGGGAGGGAGGGTTAATTCCAACATCGTTGATGACTCTTGGGTTTCCACTGGTCCTCCTCCTCCTCCTCTTCCTCCTTCTCCTCCTCCTCCGCCTCCGCCTCCGCCTCCGCCTCCCCTCCGCCGCCTCCGCCTCCGCCTCCGCCTCCGCCTCCGCCTCCTCCTCCTCCTCCTCCTCCTCATCCTCGTCCTCGTCCTCGTCCTCGTACTCTCCCCTCCCCCCTCCCCACCCTCCTCCTCCTCCTCCTCCTCCTCCGCCTCCTCCTCCTCCTCCTCCTTTCTCCTTGGCGGCGCGCAGAGGGGGGTAGGAGGGGAAGGCGGAAGGCTTCTTAGAAGGAGGCTGCTTCTTAGAAGGCGCCGGCCCTACATCTACAGATAAGGCCCGCGCCTTCTAAGCAGCAGTGGTGTTTCCGAGAAGCCTTCCCCTCTCCCCCTACCCCGTGTGGCCTAGTTTGGGCGACCTGGCGCCTTGTGGTCCCGCAGCACGAAGTCGTGGGCGGGCCCGGCCAGCGCTGGCAGTCCAGCGCCGCAGTCGCTGGGAGGGGCGGGCGCCGCCAGCTTCGTCGCCGTTGTCGCCGCTCGACGTCATTGTCGCCGTCGACGTCGCCGTCAATCGTCATCGTCCGTCATCGTCGTGGTCGCCGCCGTAGGTCGTCGTCGTCGTCGTCGCTGTCGTCGGTCATCGAGCGTCGTCATCGCCTTCGTCGTCGGTCATCCGTCAACGTATTCTGTCATCCGTCATCGTCGTCGTCGTCGTCGTCGTCGTCGGTCGTCGTCGTCGTCGTCGCCGGAGTCGGTCGTCGTCCAGCGTCGTCGTCATTCGGCTTGTCGTGGTGGTCGTCGTGGTCGTTCAACTTCGTCGTAGGTCGTTGTCGCTCGTCGTTGTCATTCGTCGTCATCGTTCTTCGTCGGAAGAAGTGGGGGGAGAGGAGTAGGAAGGAGCAAAAAACAAATGCCTCCAACAATTCGTGTTGGGATGATTCCAGAGCTGTTGTCAGGCCTTGGCTGGCCTCCAGAAGCCTCTGGAGGCCTCAAGCGGACCTCTGGAGATCTCTGGGACACCTGGAGATCTCCATACAATGCAGAACAACGACGCATGCACACAAATTGTCGGAGGTCTCCGGAGGCGCCGCCGAGGAGGGGGCCCCAGCACAGATCCAAGGCATCCGCGCCGAGCTCCGAAAGCTTACGTTGAAACAGCGTGTCTTCTTCGACTCCAAAGACCATCGGTGACCTCCAAAGGTCCCCTCACTTCACGCGGAAACGCGAAGCGCAAACATCTCCGCGGTCGCGCGCACGTCTCCAGACCAGGCCGCGCGAGCGCGCTTACCTCCCTGTGCCCACGCCGGCGACGCGGCATTGCGCAGCGAGCCCAGTCGGTCTTGCGGGGGGCTCTGCGCAGCACGTGACACACACACAGACTCACACACACACAGGGCGTACATTTGTTTGGTCAGCGGCGATGGGAACAGTCCAAGATTGCTGGATGCTGGATTTGGAGCGATTGCGGAGGTGGAGCGACTGTGGGATGCGCGCACCCGCATGGGGGCTCAAGGCGTGAAGCACAATACACAGAACACGAGCAACGACCACTGCACACACAGACACACACACAGACACACACACACACAGACACACACACAGACACACACACACACACACACCAGCAACACACACACACACACACACCGCACGCACACCAGCAACACGCAATGCACAGAGCGTAGGCACAGTGCACAGCTCCCCGTGCACGCGCACGGGCAGCAGACGCACCTGCAAGTCGACGGACCGGGCGGCAGCAGGGCCCTCCTGGAAGCCGCTCTGGACTCGGCGCCCGCCTGGCCAGCCTTGGCGCTGGCCATGAGGGACAGGTAGGCCTCGGCCGCGGCGAAAGGCCCCGGCTGGCGCAACCCCTCCCTCTGGGAGCGACCGCCGTTCGGGCCCAGACCGAGCGGCAGTTGCTCCCGGGGTGTGGGGGGGGCCCTGTCTCCCAGCCAAGCTCCGCTCGGACGGACTGGCCCTCCGCCCTCCCTCCCTCCTCCTCCTCCTCCTCCTCCTCCTCCTCCTCCTCCGCCTCCTCCTCCCCCTCGTCCTCCTCCTATCCTCCTCCCCGCCCCGCCCCCTGCCCCGAGACTGTGGTAGAGGCATCAGCACGTCGTCGTCGTCGTCGTCGTCGTCGTCGTCGTCGTCGTCGTCATCACAATCGTCGCCGAAAATATCGTCGTCATCGTCGTCGTCAGGGTCAGCGACACCGGCCGGAAAACCCTAACAATACAAGCGCTTCTTTCAGTAACGTAAAGTATCCCTCTCCAGCTTCTCAGCAAAGGCCGTCTACTCCAGACGCGACTGCGCAGGCTGGTGTCTGACTGCGGGCAGATCATCGGCATATGGCAGGGGACATATCACAGAGGAGTTGCTCGGGTTTCCTCATCTCCCACGGTCCTGGGACAGGCTGGCGCAAGCCTGGCGTCAGAGAGCGTGCTGATGCAGCCGCTTGCTTCGCCGGACTCCCAAATGTGCAACAAATTCCTCTCTTTACCTTTTACCCTGACGCCATATGCCGTAAATACTCGCAGCCTGTTGCCTGGCTGGCCGATCGGGGTCTCACCAAGGAGGCCCATCCTACCGTCGGGGCGGCGAGTGAGGGGGGGGGAACTGAGAAGGAGAAGCCCTTCTCAGAAGGCGGCGGGACTTCTCAGAAGCCCTGTCGCCTTCCAAGAAGTTTGCTGCGTCTTCCGGGAAGGCTCAGAAAACTTCACGGAAGGAGGCGGAGGAGGAGGAGGCCGAGGAGGAGGAGGAGGAGGAGGAGGCGGAGGAGGAGGAGGAGGAGGAGGAGGAGGAGGAGGAGAGCAGGACGACGTCCTGCGCGGCGCCAGCCCGTCGGCAGCGGGGCCGCACCCCAGACATCCGACGTCTCGAGGACTTCGAGGCACGGGCCCTCGCCTCCCCGACCACTCCCCCCGGGGTCTGGCTCTTCATCCCACGGCGTGCCCCGACGGCCCCGAGGCCCGGCGAGGGCCCCGAGGGGCCGAAAGCGAGGAGGAACCTCCGTCTCGGTGCCTTCGAAGCGCCCGCTGTCTGGGACCCGTCGGCGCCGACGCCGACGCCGACGCCGACGCCGACGCCGACACCGACGACTCGCCAGCCCGTCGGCAGCGGGGCCGCGTGCTCGCGAGCGGACGACGTGCCGCGCTCGTCCCCCCAACAGAACACCGCGCAGACTCCGCCCGCGGGCGGCGCTCGCCCTACTCGCGCCAGCCCTTGTCGGAAACCTGGTCGGGCGAAACCTCCTCCGCCTCCTCTTCCTCATCATCATAATCATCACCATGGCCATCATCACCACTGTCATCATCATCACCACCATCATCATCATCACCATCATCATCACCATTATCGTAATCATGACTAACCCTTGGTGTTCTGCGGGGAACACTTCTCTCTACTAAGCTCGCTGGTCAAAGCGACTCGGATCCGAGGCCGAGAGGAGGACGTCCTGAACGCCTCTCGTTGGAAACCACACCCAAGCATAAGGGGAGAGAAAGGGAAGGCGAGCCGAGGCGGCTCGAAAAGGGCGGGGAGCCTGGATGACTACAGATCAGCAAAGATGTGGATAGATGAGACCGACAGCCCAACCCCTGCTAAGTCAGTACTGCGCACGCACCTCCATGACTAACACTTGGTTTTCTGCGGGGAACTCCTCTCTCTACTAAGCTCGCTGGTCAAAACGACTCGGATCCGAGGCCGAGAGGCGGACCTCCTTAACGCCCCTCGCTGGAAACCACACCCACATTAGATTCCCCAAAACAGAATCTGTCCACACCGAAAGGTATTTAGCTCGTAGAAGGCTTGGAAGGGTGCAAACGACGGCCTCATGGAAACGAGAGGGCACCAATTCACACGGGCGAGGGCGGGAGAGGTGTTTCCTGTGGCCGTCCCGAGACCTGGCGCCAGGGCACCGTAGCCAAAGGCGGCTGGTGTCAGGGGGGCAAAACATTACAAACGAGGGAATGCACAGTGAACATGGACGTACCACGATATCTACACACGTGCGAGGCATACTTTGCGCAAAGCAATGTCGGAAAACGTGATATGACATGTGCGTGGTCTGTGCTAGCGAAACTGAGTATCGCTGGGGGCCGAAGCCTGGCCGCTTCGGACATTACACGGACTAGACCCTTAGACAGAGCACTGCTACCTACCGAAATCGCGACTGCACCTATCTTGCCTGCTTTTATGTCCGAGTGGAGCCTGAAACAGAGCAAGTCTGAAATGGCCCCCCTCCCCAATGAAACGCACAAAGAAACCACTTTTGACAAAATAAACGGGCACGCTGAACCGCTGGCCTTTGACCAAAACGAAAAGGCGCCCTTCATTCACTGCCAGTGCAAAGCGGGCCTTGGCTGCACACGGCCGCGCGCCAAGATCTCCACGAATCTCTCCTCGCACTCGATCGCGTGCGACTGGAGCCACGGCGAGTGGGCTGCCCATGTAGCACTCAGGCGGGCCCCTTCTCGCACCGAACGACAGACCGATCTGACTTCCAACCTGCTCTCTTCTTGACCTCCGCTAGTGTGCGCCTGCGGGGGGACATGTCCGAGCTGGCGCCACTGTGCCTGGCCTGATAGACCACCAGGTTGAACCCCAAGCCATGCGCGACCTCCTGCACGGTGGCCGCCAGCTGGGGGTAGCTGGGCGTCCAAACCCTCTCCCCAGGTGGTCTGGACTTGAGGGCGTCCAGCATCGGGGCGATCTCGGCCCACCACGAGTGGTCCAGCTCGATGGTGGCGTCGAACTCCTTCGACTTGGAGGGCACCCCTCGACTTCGGGGCGGGGCTGGACGGTCCAGCAAGTGGCCACCCGACTCGGGGCGCGCAGGAACTCGGGCCTGAGGGCCATCAGCTGGACCGGCCGAGCGTAGGCGCTCCACGTGAGGCAGATGAAGAAGGCCATGCCGGAGCGGCGAAGGCTGCGCAGCCCATTGACCACGGCGCACCAGATCGGCCGCGCTTCTGGCAGCCGCGAGGTCGAAGGACTCAGGTTCTGCCGCCCTTTCAGAGCCCTCCAATTGCGCCGCAGCGCGCGCGGCCCCTGTTCCCCTGCCTTGGGTTGGACGTGGACCGCCCCCGCCAGGAGCTTCATGTCGCGCGCGGCGGCGACTCCTTGCCCGATGCGCTGCGCCAGGTCGCCCAAGGTCTCCAGCGGGATGTCGGTCACCCGACTGACGTTGGCAAAGGTGCTGAACTGGTGAACCTCTCGAGCGCGCTGCGCCTCGGTCCGCGGCCTCACTGCCGCGCGCCCCCCCCGAAGTCAGATGGGGCAGCTCGGGGGCCGCAGGCGACTCCAGCAGCTTCGTGATGGGGCCCTTCTTGATGCGGCGGGGCACGCGTGAGGGCGGAGGCGCTGCTAGTCGGACCTCCGCGTCCGCCTCCTCGCTCTCGGAGCTCGAAGCCTCTGCGAACCGCGGGTCAGAGTTGACGGGGGCCCGAAGCTGCCCCAGCAAGCGCCGCGCCCCGGCCTCCGAGAGATCGGGCTGGGAGGCGCTCCGAGCCAAGGCTCTCGCGCCAGCGGTCCCTTTGGCCCCCGCCACTCGGGAGCTGCGCGGCCGCGACTCGGGAGGGCCCACTGCGCTTTGAAGACGCCGCTTCCGACTGGGGCCCCCCGTCGGCGCTGCTGGTCGCCGGGGCGAGACTAACGCCCGAACTCTGAGACTCGATGTAGAAAGGTTCGGTGCATGGAACGCGGCGTGAGCCGAAACGTCTACAGTTGAAGGGGCCCACGGGGGGCTCGGGGCCTCCTTTTTTACATCGGGGACTTTCAGGGGCACGGACCTGACTGGGCACATACTGCTGAGGCTCAGGAGCTCCGCGTGGACAACGCGAGGGCTTCCTAAGTAAAATGCTCGGCAGGCCCCTCCGGCACCCAGTTTCCTTCGCATCTCCAAGGGGTCTGCCATCGTCACGGGGGGTGCGCTCGCAGCGCTGGGGGCGGCCATTATCATCCTCTCTGCTCTCGACCGAATTCAACGGATGCTAAAACGAACGGGGGGGAGCATCGGCGGGGTTCTTTTCTGACGGAATCCAGCGGACTGAAAGGTGGATGTTGCGGCTGAGACACCACGCGGCCATCCTGCGCAGGATGGCCAGAACTTTGAAATTGCGGCATCGCCACCTGCTGACTGCAAGCGCGAGCCCGAGGTTATCCGCAAAGAGGAGCCGGCGAATGTTGCGGCCAAATCTGTCGCGGCTCCCACGCAGCATCGCGCGGGCCTCGAGGACCACGATGTCCTCGGGCTCGCGGAACCTCCAGCCCCCGACCACCGCCCAGCTAGACTGCTTCGTCATGGAGCTGGACACCTCGTCGAAGCACGGGTCGGCTGTCAGCCCGTCGCGGCCCAGGCGCCCCGCCACGCCCAACGGCTCCGCGGGCGGCGAGGTCTCTCCCAGGGCGGCCGCGCGGGCCCCCGCGTGATCCTCGGCGAGGTAGCGGTCGCGCTCGCGGCAGCGACCAATGGCAGCGACCTCGCGGGCGTCGAAACAACGGGGGCAAATGCCGCACCCCGTCTCCGAGACGCCCGCGGCCACGACCAGCGGGTTCCAGTCGGACTCCCAGCGCGAGACCAGCAGCGCCATGGGCCCGGCGAAAACCCTGAGCTCGTCAGCGACCGACGGCCACAAAGCGACAGGCTGGTCGTAGTGCTTCCTGATGGAGGGGCGCACGGTGGCGAACGCCGAAAGCGTCTCTCGCCTCACCAGCCCGCAGAACGTGGCGCGGCCCAGGGCCACCTCAACCTGGCGGCCCGAAGCGCGACGCCGTCCAGCCAGAAGCAGCGAGGCGCCTCGCACCCGCCAGAAGCGCTTGGCCGTCAGCCCGGTGCGTCGGCGACGGCCGTCCAGCAGCGCGCCAAGCGCCTCAACGCCAGAGTCGGAGGTGGCGACCTCGTGCACGGCGAGGCCCCTCGCCTCGAAAGCCCCGCAGACGTCCTCCAACCTGGCTGCCGCGACGTTGCCGTCCGAGCCGAAGACCCCGATGTTGTTCACGTAGATGTAGTGACGGGCCCTCGAGGCGTCGACGCTCCGCGCAGTGGGGGCGAGCGGCCGCCCCCTGCCGCGAAGCAACTCCCCGCGCTCGAGGACCAGGCCGGCGACCTCCTCGTCGATGTCCCGCGCAAGGAACGTGCCCCAGGAGAAGCCCCTCGGCTGGCACCGAGGCATTGGGATCACCATCTCGCCAGGGCCGACGGGCCCGCCCAGCTTCTCCAGGAGCCCGATGTCGGCCGCGCGAACGGGCGGAAGCCCGAATCAGCGGGGCAGCCAGGTCGGGGTGCCCATTTGATGAAAAGCGTCCTGCACATCCGCCGCACCGCAATACAAAGAGGAAAAGTCCAGACCATCGGGAAGCTCCACCTCGACACGGCCAAGGCCCTCGGCAACCAAAAGATCGACGCGGGGCGGGGGGGCAATGCACCTGTTGGCGCGCCTCGCGTCGAAGATGAGGCGGAGCTTCCCGTTCTTCTCGCGAACAGAAAAGAGACCGGCGCGCTCGCGCCCAGGCGCCAAGGACCAACATGTCCCAGGCCTCCAGGTCGCGGACAAAACGGGCGCAGGGCGCCGGGCTGCCGGCGAGGCGAGGGCCCGCGCGGCACCGCTCAGAAGCATCATCAAAATCGCCGCTGGCAGAAAGGCCCAGCATGCGCTCTCCTGCGCCCTCCAGATAGCATCGGCCACGGTATCCGACAAACTCCGAGACGGCGGGGGCGCTGGTCCTCTTCTCGGGCAGGGGGGCGCGACCGCGCCGGCGTGGCGCGAGCGCAGTCAGACAGGCGCCCATTCTGTAGCCAGACGCCTTGTCGCAGAGCAACTACCGAAGGGCCGCTGCTGGCGGCTCGTAAAAGTCTCGAGCGCCCTCCCGCGCCTGAAGCTCCGCCAGCGCCTCTGAGTTGGTCGGGTTCTCGTCCAGCTGGGGCGCCGCCCCCCGCGCGGGCGCGTCACCGTCGCGGCCGCCGGGGCCCGACCTCCCACGGGCGTCGGGCGGTCGGCGAGCGTCGGTCTTAGCAAGCTAATCAGGCGCATTACAGCCAGCCTCAACAAGCTGTCGGATACGATCACGAGCACGGAACCGCCCGAGACGCCTACCGCCAGCAGCAGGAGCAGCTTCTCACCGAGGAAGGGCCAGCGGGATCTGCTCGAAGAGGCGAGGGCGCGCACGCGCCCGATAATCCCCCACCTTCAGCGGGCCGTGGCGTAGAGGGCCTCCTGTCCGCGACCCGTCATCCGAGTCAACCATCCTTCGGGGCGCTGGAGCCTTGACCGCCCCGTCCGCCCAGGTCCTGCGTCACCGCGTCCGCGTCGCCGCGTCCGCGCCCGCGCCCTCGTCCACCTTCAACGGTACCTTGCCCGCGTCCAGAGTTAGCGCCCTCTGCCGCAGGCAGCAGCGCGTCCGAGTACTCTCAATCTCGTTATGGCCCGTCAGCTTGTTGACGCCCCACTTGCGCAAGGCGGGCGCGATGGCGCCCCCGCAGTTGGCTTCGCCCTCGCACGCGGCAGCCATGCGCCACGAAGGAACGCCGCCGCCGGCAGAGTAGGCGTCGATCACGCCCAGCATCCCCCGCGCGATCTTATCGATGCCCGCCGACGCGCCCAAGTTGAGCTGGTCGTACTCGCCGAAGAGATTGTAGCTCTCCGTCAAGGAAATCATCTTACGATGCACTCGATCCGACTTGGAGATGCCGTTGCCACGGGCGAACTCCTGCCACCACCGCCGCGGGTCTCCGCCGCGCCGCGCCATGTGCCGAGCGAGGTGCAAAGCCCCTGGCGGGCCCTGAACCTGCACCGCGGTGATGGGCTCCTCCCAGCCCTCCTGAACGGCCTTCTTCCAGCTCTTGAACCTCTCGCCGACCTCGTCGTAGTCGACCCAGAGCGTGCGAACGTCGTCCTCCAGCGCTGGTGGTGGGTCCGAAGCCCGAGCTCGAAGCGCCGAGGGGCCTGCCGCCGCCGCCGTGCCACCGCGCCGAGCGCGTAGTCCCTGAACGAACTCCGCGCACTCAGCATTCGGCACGGCCTGGACCCGCAAGAAAGAGCCGTGCCTGTGGACGAGGCCGTCTGTCGACGTCACGAAGATGTCGCCAGCACGCGGCGTCGCCTCCATGCCCAGCGTCTCGTGGCCCTCGGCGTTCTCGGAGATGAGCCACACCCGGCCGTCGCGAGGGGCCGCGCGCTCAGGCAACACCGCCAGGTACGGCGCCACCGAATCGCGGCCGTCGAGGACTCCAGCGTCCTCCACCGCGGGAGCCTCGGAGGGAGGCGGCAGCACCGGCGTGGCGGCCCCGTCGACCGCGGCAGCAGGCTCAGCGTCACGCCGTCGGAGCCGCCGCCCCACGCCACGCAGGGGAGCCAGCTCGCTCTCCGTGGTGACGTAGTGCGTGAGGGCGGGCGGTTCCTGTCCTACTGCCCGCATCCGCGCCGCGGCCTGCTGGGCCTCCTGGCGGACGCGGGCGTCGGCAGGAGTGGTTCCGTCCTCGAACCTGTACAAACACTTGCCCTCAGGGAACGGGGGCAGGTCCCCGCCATGTCCAGGAGCATCATTCTCTTCCCCTCATCCGCCTCCATCGAGATATCCTCCTCGTAGAAGTCCCCATCTGGAGTGAGCACCCACCAGCTGGTGACTAGCCCTTCCGCGTTCTGAAGTCCAGGGCCCACGGCGACCCTCTCGTGCCACAGATCCTCCGCCCCGTACTCGATGGCCATTAAGCACCCAGGGCGGAGGCTACTCGACAACTCCTGCACCGAAGGAGGCCTTCCTGTGTCCGACAGGTGCAGTGGTCGACGTGCTGCGACGAGCGCCATCTCGCCGTCTGCAGGCCCAGCGCCCGCAAAGGAACAGCACGAAGATGAATCCCTGGCCTCCGCACAAGCCCAGCGTGGTGGTGGCGATCAGCCTGATGTCGTGCTCGTCCGTCCTACACTCGCCAGTCTCTGTCTTGAGGCGCCTCGCAACCTCCTCCAGTATGTCGGGCTGCAGGACCGCCTCCGCGCAGGTCACCTCCACGCGCGAGGGGGCGAGTGGCGCAGACCAAGGACCGCAATCAGCTGCAGGGATCGCGGGACCCGCTGTCCACTGCCGTTCAGCAGCGTCACGCAGGATGATGGTCAGAATGGCTAGCAGAGCCCCGCTCACCGACTGCATTCGGTGCCAGAACTCAGAGCCTGGATGACTACAGAGCAGCAAACATGTGGATAGTTGAGACCGACAGCCCAAACCCTGCTAAGTTATTACTGCGCACGCACCCCCAGAATCCTCCTCCTAAGCATCATCATCATCATCATCATCATCATCATCATCATCATCATCATCATCATCATCATCATCATCATCATCATCATCATCATCGCCATCATCATCATCATCATCATCATCATCATCATCATCATCATCATCATCATCATCATCATCATCATCATCATCATCATCTCCTCCTCCCCCTCCTCCCCTCCTCATCCGCCTCCTTTCGGCGGCGAGCGAGGGGGAAAAGTGATAAGGAAAAGGCCTCCTCAGCCTTCGCGAAAAGCGGCGGAGTTTCTCTCAGAAGCCCTCCTGCTTTCCGAAAGGTGTTATGCGTCCCCGGTGAAGGCTCAGAGGATTTGTCAGCAGGCTGGGGAACTTCCGAGCCTGCCTAAGCCCGAACCCTCCCGCCCCCCCCCCCGAGCTAGCCGTCGAAAGAATGTTTGGCGGCGCTGGCACCGTTCCGTGGGCCCGGCGGCCAAGCGGCGGCGCCAGAGGGGGGGGGGTGCAACGGTTTCCCCTGGGGCCGTAGGCGACCCGAGGAAGAGGAGGAGGAGGAGGAGGAGGAGGAGGAGGAGAAGGAGGAGGAGGAGGAGAGGAGGAGGAGGAGGAGGAGAAGGAGGAGGAGGGAGGAGGAGGAGGAAGAGGAGGAGGAGGAGGTGGAGGAGGGGGAGGGGGAGGGGAGGGGGAGGAGGATAGGAAGGAGGAGGAGGAGAGAGGAGGAGGAGGTGGAGGAGGAGGAGGAGGAGGAAGGGGAGGGAGGAGGAGAGGAGGATGAGGAGGAGGAGGAGGAGGAAGGGAGAGCAGGCAGGTGGAGGAGGAGGGCGAGGAGGGCGAGGGGGGAGAAGAGGAAAAAGGAGGAGGAGGAGGGAAGAGGAGGAGGAGGTGGGGGAAGGGGGAGGGGAGGTGGAAAAGGACAGGACAGGACATCCGCATAAGGGGGGCAATGTCAACAACTACGATGGCGCCGTGCGCGCGACTGGCAAAGCCCCCTGCGATCAGGTTGTGCCGCAGCCGAGACTTCTCCTTAGGGCAGGCAGGGGGCATGCCCCGAAGCTTCAAGGGGTGAGCTCCGAGGTGGCCCCGTAAGAGAGGCTCGCCACCTTGTGAGTGCGGGCCCCTGCGGGTCAGTGCAGGGGGGGGGTGGGGGCACCTGTCGGCCCTCTCGACACTGGGGGGCGCGCAGGGCGAGCAGGGCCCCCTGGCGAGGGTGGGGGGGGGCGACGACGCGACCTCTCAAAAAGGAGAAGAAGAGGGAAGCGGGAGGCCCTTGCGTTTCAAACCTTGCTCGGGGGGGGGGGGGGGGGGGCGAATTGCATTCTACCTGCGAGCAGCCGGTGTTATGTCTACCACAGCTTCTCCTCTCTCTAGGCGGCGCACTTCTCCTCCTGAGCGTGCTGGTCGTTGGTTGCCCCATGCATTGTCGCATCTGTGCCCTGATGCCCTGCAGTAGTATCCCACAGTGCCCCCTTGGTGAGCAGGTAGGGGCGAGCATACTTATAGTCACGGCATGTGGGAGGTTGGTTTTGATTCCCTCCTCCTGTACCCCAGCTGTGCCGCTGCAGACTCGAGTTAGGTGGGGCCCTTTAGGGTGCGCTCTGGTGGCCTTCGTAGTTATCTCACTTTCCAACCCTAACCCCCTGCAGTAGCGCACCTGTCGGCATTCTCAAAAATCACTTTCCGAGGCGTTGTCTGTGCGAGCTCTCTCCTGAGGGTCCTCGCGCCGAAATGTCTCCGCTAGTGATGGGCCCTCTGAATCTGCCCGCCCTGGCTGCCCAGATTCGCACTCCGAGATATGTTCGCCAATGCACCTCTTGGCGTTGCAAGTGGGCTTTCTCACGCGCGGCCGCAGAAGCTGGCCGCCACCCCCGACTTGCCTTATTTCTCGAAGATCTCGGTGTCATCAAACAGGGTATTCGTACTGTCTCAGGGCTACTATTTTTTCTGAACCTTTCTATTTCCTCTGGGTCGAGTGTCGCCTCGTTCTTCGTCTCCTTCAAGGCTACCTTCATGACGCTGCACATGTTCTCCTCGTCGTTCTCCGAGATCTTCAGCGCCAGCTCGCACCAGCTTCGCGTACAGAGGGACCTCTTCCCTGCTCTTTCCCACGCGTCCACTGGGCACCTTGCAATCCGCGCGCAGCCCTTGACTTGGTGAGCCATCAAGAAGGACGGTGGGATCAGCTCGAACAGCTCCTCTGGGCTCATTTTCTTGGGCGGCGTCGTAGAACTTGTAGCGGTTCCCCGCGATGGCGTCGTCGAGCTTCTGCGGCAGCTTGTCCGCTACGAACGCTTCCCTCTTTTTCCGGCCTTGAACTCCATGGCCCCCTCCTGTACGGGTGGAACTTCGCCTTGCGCCCGGTGTCGGGCCACTTCTCGCAGTGTTTGCCGAAGTCCCTCTTCATCTTGTCCACCCACTCGTTCATGAACGCATATTATGGGTGGCTCTCCTGCATCGTCACCTGCTGCTTCCAATCCAATTTGCACCAAAACTTCCACAGGTCGCCTCTCGAGTTGGGGCTGGGCCCTTTTCCACCGCAGCTCGTTAGGAAAGGCAAATCCGCATGAGCAGGCGCACTCTTTTTTTTAGTTGCATGTTGTCGCTCCACTTGTCCACGATGGAGGAGGAGGAGGAAGAGGAGGAGGAGGAGGAGGAGGAGGAGGAGGAGGGAGGAGGCGGAGGAGGATGGGAGGGAAGGATGAGGAAGGAGAGGAGGAGGAGGAGGAGGAGGAAGAGGAGCAGGAGGAAGAAGAGGAGGAAAAGGACGGGTCGCCTAAGCCCTTGACGAAACCCTCCAGGGGGGGGAAGTGCCGGGGTGGGGTGGGTGGGGGGGGCAACAAAACCGACCCTGTTATCCCGCCGGATAGCAGCTCCTGCAACTAGCTCAATTGAGGGAGGTCCTCAGAGGCAGTCCGCAACGAGCTGCGAGCAGCCCGTGGGGACCTCCCGCAGTACCACGCTCAACTACGGGAGGTCCCCAGAGGCCGCCAGGACTGTGGTCCTGGAAGCAGATGCCCCGACATCCCGCAAGTGAAGCCAATTGCGGGAGGCCCCCAGAGGCCGCCAGCACTGTGGTTCTGGGGGTCCATACTGAGCTCCAGTAGTGGAAGCAAATTTCGGGAGGTCCCCAGAGGCCAGCAGGATTGTGATTCTGGGAGCCTCCGGGGATTTCTCGTACATGCGCCCTCGTAACCTACTCAGAGAAACTCGCTCGCATCGCCACGCCGAATTTCGAGAAACTCCCTCGCAGCCACCCTTGCCCGGCGGCAGAGAAGTTTCCCCAAATCGGCTAGAAGCACGCAATTTTAGGAGACGCCCCTGCAAGCAAGCACCAACCGAAAACCCGAGTGCTCTGCCCGCCCACAATCAAAACTGATGGCAACGGTGCGCGAGAAGGATGCAAGGGCCCCGGACGCCCGCGCCGAACCTCCTCGAGTGGACGGGATCCGCCACCCCCCCCGAAGGTGGTCACAAAACAAAAAAAAAAAAAAAAAAAAAAAAAAAAATAACAAAAGGGGACGGACCGAAGAGGCACGGATGCCGAAATAAAAAACAAAAAAAACAAAGAGACACCCCTGGGCGAGCCTGGGGGTCACTACCGGCCGTTCGAAAAGCCCCCCTCCCCCCACCAGAAAAACCAGAGGAAAAAAAAAAAAAACGTCACAAACCGGTTCGAACCCCCCCCCGCCCCTCCCTCGGAAACCATGGGGGGGGGGTCACTACCGGTTCGACAATCCCCCCCCGCCCCCACCCCCCCCTCCCTCGAAAGCCGTGGGGGGGGTCACTACCCGGTTTCGAAAAACCAACCCCTCCCCCTCCTCCTCGAAAACCTAAAGGGGGTCCTTACCGTTTTTCGGGAAAACCCTCCCCCCCCCCCCCCCTCACCACCAGCACACGACTCCCTGTCCCTACCCACCTCCGCATCACATCCCCCACTGGTGTTCCCAGCACCACTGTCTTCACCACCGCTGTCCCCACTGGTTCCACCACCGCCCCTACTGTCCCCACCAGTGGCCCCACCACTGTCGCACTGTCCCCGCTGTCCCCAGAACTGTTCCCACCACGGCTCCACTCTCCCCACTGTCTCCACGGCCCCAACCACTGCCCGACTATCTCCACTGTCCCCACTGTCCCACTGACTCCTCCGCTGTCCCACTGAGCTGTCCAACTGTTCCCACCACTGTCCCCACTGTCCCCACCACTGTCCCCACTGTACCTCTGTCCCATTGTCCCACCGCCGTCCTGGCCACCGCCCTCACCACTGTCCCCACCACCACTGTACCCTCCACTGTCCCACTGTTTCCACCACATTCCCACTGTCCCCACACCACTGTCCCCACCACCACCGTCCCCACCACTGTCCCACTGTCCCCACTGTTCCCACCGTTGTCCCCGCTGTCCCCTACCATTGTCCCACCACGGTCCCACTCTCCCCACTTTCCCCACGGTCCCCACCACTGTCCCACTGTCCCCACTGTACCCACTACTGTTCCACTGTCCCCGCCGCTGTCCCACTGTGCTGTCCCAGCGTCCCCACTGTCCCCATCACTGTCCCACTGTCCCCACCACTTTCCCCACCGTGCTACTGTCCCACCACTGTCCTCACCACCGCCTTCACCCCTGTCCCCACCATTGCCGTCCCCACCACTGTCCCACTGTCCCCACCACTGTCCCGCTGTCCCCTCACCACTGTCCCCAGCACCACCGTCCCCACCACTGTCCGCACCCCCCCCGGTTTTCGAGGGGGGGGGTTCGAACCGGCAGTGACCCCCCTCTCTTTTCATGATGGACTGGGGGGGGGGAGGGGTTCAAACCGGTAGTGACCCCTCCCGGTTTTCTGGAGGGGGGGGGGTCGAACCGGTAGTACCCCCCCCCAGTTTTCCGCCAGTAGCGGTAGAACACGC